GGAAGTTTGTGTGCATTGGGAATCATATTTTTTCAAATAAAGCCAAGGTAACACTCATTTTACATAAAGCACACAGTGAAAATGACATGATTATGACAGTGGGCAAATGCATAAAGCGCAGCATAATTTGAAATCACGAATTTAATGTTTAAAGCATTCAGTTTGCACGGACCGAAAGTCACGCAGAGAACACGCAGTCATGCAGGTCACATGCACACTTCACAAGATCTCACAACTGTATTCGACTAAGTCTGCAAGGTTTGTGAAATTAAATTTTCATTAGCCATTCAAAGATTTGTTTAAATGATGTAAATGCGTATTTGCTGAATGCTGACGGCAAACGAGAAAGTATTATAATGTTTGCCTTTCTATTACTAATAATATAAAAGCAATCGTTATAATACTTTTTGTGTATATTTTAATTCCTTTGTTTAACAGTTCTATCTGATTATTAGACAGACTTCTAATCGTATTAGACAGAACTGTTAACGACGACGGCGAACAAGAGGGAGAATGTGAGCACTGTGTGCGCAAGCGCTGCCGCTCTCTGCGCCGTCAAAATAAAAGTCCCGCGTCGAACGCATCGGCCAAACAGGAAAACTTATCGGCCAATGCCGATATTTGAAAAATGTCAAATATCGGCCGATATATCGGTCGACCACTAGTCACGAGCACTTGCACGCCGCTTGCCAACAAAACACAGAAATTTGATGCGGTTTCACTTACCATCTTTCGGTATCAAACTATGTGCAAATCCAGTGCCTTAAATCCGTTGCTCACCCTGGGAAAACAAACTGCATCCACTGTTCACGTAACGCTGGGTTCTTTGGGAAGCAGAACAAGATTATCTTTCCCTCATCCAAAAACACACTCCTTTAGAGACATTTTTCTTGAGCAAGTCCTGTGCAGCGCTGCCGATGGTTGATGTGTGTGTGATGTATCATATATCCAAATCGTTTTTTGAAACTTTGGCCATGTTTAGCATGATGATCCAACTCTTTAACGGTGTGGATAACTCAGAATGCATGAAATAGCATTAGACCCCCCCCACTACCCTTTAAAAAATCTTACCAATCCCAAAGTTTTGAATTGTAGTGTATGTGACTAATATTGTGACTAAACTGGTTGTTTTTCAGGAGGAGAGCGCAAGTCACGAGTGTAACCAGCGTCTGGTGGTTCTCTATGGGGTTGGCAAACAGCGAGATGAAGCTCGCCACGCCATCAAGAAGATCACCAAAGACATCCTGAAGGTTCTCAACCGCAAGAGTACAGCAGAGACAGGTGCGGCGATGAACACAACTCAAACCGACAGATTTGGATGACTGTATTACTCATTCCTCTGGAAATTTATTTGCAAAGGAATCAAAGAAGTCATTCATTAACCCTCATGTTGCTAGAAACCAGTATGCTGTTGTTTTGTCTGAAAAACACAAAATTTCACTTATTTGAAGAATCTTTTTTGCAGCTTTTTAGCAACCAAACTATTGTTTACTGAGATCTTTACGCTCTCCTTTATTGCTGTGGTATGTAACACAAATCATTTTCAGTCACAATCAGTCTTGACTGCAGTTGTGTGCTTTAGCTTCACCTTTCGGCTCTGAGTGACACTTTTAGATCGCCGTCTCTCCTCGAGGGCCGAATAGAGACCGTTCATCATTAATGCTCAATTACATTAGTCTTTTTTTCCCATTTTTTCTCCATTATTAACAGCATTTCATAGCACTTAACCTCTGAACATTGAATATTCATAGCTGTAGCCCCATCTCGATGCTAATAGCAATCATGGTCTATTATATTCAAGCTTAGCTGCCGACTCAGTCAGAAAGTGCAGCCCTGCATTTGCTTTCATTTTTTAATGGAGGTGTAATTGAACATCCCATTATTTCCCTCGCAGCAGCCTGAGACATTAAACGGCTCAACCCACAGTTATTAATATTTCAAGCACGACAAAAACACTAACCCGTCACCCCGTGGCAACTCTGTGCGTGAATAAGTCACCGGTCCAGGAGCTTTTAATCTGAAAAAGTGTTTGACGGAGTGGCCTCAGACAGTGGTTGACTGATGGATGCTGGATGAGGGCACTTTATACTTTAATAACGATCTCCGTATTTCATCTGATTGAAATCCTCTAAGGGCTCTCTCTCT